TCTTTGGAATTTTTTAATATCCACATTTGATTAAAACCACTACGAGAGTATATTTTGTCACAGTATTTTTGAATACCCTCTTTCACTGCCGTTAGTATAGATGTCAATACTTTTGAAAGTGGTTTTGTGGAACAACGGGATGAACCTGTTATAAAACGTTGCTTGTAGGGATTTTTATGTAGTTTAGGTATCCAATATAACAAGGGCAGATCTGTATAGGTATCTCCACATGGAGTACCAAATGAAGTGAGTACAGATCTGTGATTGGATATAATTTCATCCTTACTAAGCGTAGAGCGTTTATACGTAGCACTGTCGACTGATTTCCCGAAATTAAGTTCTTTGAACAGACAGTCATAATAATATCGTTTACATATAAACACTAAGTTATTGGACGCTTTGTCAGCCGGTACAATGACATACTTGTCATGTAAGGCGTTGAGATTTTCAACAATGCTAACATCATTGAAAATAGATTTAGGCCTAGTATCAACTAACAAACGTTGCATATAAATTCTTCGTTTAAGTAAACGACTGATAGACTTAGTCCAATCTGAGAGAGTATCAGAGATAACATCTTCCCTCTTGGCCCATGATCTGGCGTAGTCCTCTACGGCACCCATAATAAGTTTGAAATTTTGATCCCATGAAAATGGTTGCGGTTCCCGGTATTTGGGTCCTTTAGACAAAATCTCACGTAACTTATTATTCTGGACTATGTTTAAATCACAAGTGACTACATGTCCAGCTGGTTGGTAAATGAAGGACGACGTAGAGCAAGAACAGGGTAGCGGGTTATCATATAATTCTTTTGCACTGATGTTAGATAATGCGTTTCTGTAATTAAATATTTTGGATGCAATGGGTTTAGTATACGTATAAGAAATCCTAGGAACAGTAACGTTTGAAGTAAGGAAACAGAACCTTTGCATTTCGTCCTTTTAGTATTACATAATTTCATGAAGTTCCAAGCATCTTTCCTCTCAAACAAACCAGTTTTGTTTTTGCAATGATATATAATAAACACCTAAAGGATTTACAGTTTAATATTGTTGTTTTATATAGAACCTAATCGTGATGTTGGCAGTAAATACATCGTTTTTGTTGTTGGCTTAACGGCCACTCGTCACAAACTAGGTCATTTCGCGACTAACATATGGTTTACTTTTATTTCAATAATTCGCTTGCGCGTAGGGATCTTTAGCAGTGGGAGGAAACCGGAGGACCCGCAGATAACCCACGAGGTTGGACAGGCGACCCTACTCCTTGTCACGTACAACCGGGGAATCGAAACCATGCCAGTTGACTCAATGACATCCTGTGATACAACACGCAGGGGGAAAGGGACGGGAGAGAAGGACTAAAACTAACTTTGTTTTCGCAGGTGGGGGTTTGCCAGGTTCCTGAAACAATGTAACTTTTAGCTTTTGGGGGGGGGGGGTCTCTCCCCCGGCCCTTGAAAAGTTTAGAGAAATGCATGGCCACGATCGTCATTTTGGTCAATATCTGGGGTAACCAGCGGTCACTTTGATAAAACACAGATAAGTAGGATTTTACATAAAAACATGGATGTTTTTTGGCGATCGATATCTAGTTGGACACTATAGTTAACGTTTTATTAGGACTAAGCTTTTTGGAGAAGAGCGGAGTCTCGATTATCATTTTTTTAAAACCAAATCACTACCTGCCAATTATTAAATCCATTGAGAATCTCGAGCATCCGATAACATCGAGAGTTAATAACGGTCTTGGGACGTTAATAAATGTCTAATTAATGATTTATATAACATTTAATGCCCATAGAAATATCTGGAATAGGCAGATTTAGCTATTACATAATGCATCTTTAATATACATGTATGTGCTTTTATGGACACAATGTTTTAAATTGGACTATAATGTTAGGTGTTTAGCAGTCGAATAGCTTGATGCTTAGGCTAAGCATAGATAAACAATTTTATTGAGTCGATGATTTGGTACACAATAAAATCAATTTTAATTGAGCCAGATTGGTGAAACTTGTGTGTATAGTTTCACTACACCAAAACCTTGATTAACTTAATTAATATGTGTCGGTTGAACATCAAAACCTTGATTAACTTAATATGTGTGGGTTGAACACCAAGCTCACTCTTGGCTTGTTTCTTCCACCTCTACCAACTTGAAAATGATATTAGATTTAAGGGTATATAGCTCTATTCTTGGGAACTTTAGCATAGACGAAGGTGGTGGGTCTAAAAGCACATTTTACTGTATATTAAGTGATTTCTATTCAATGTTTGAAATTTTATTATAATTTTTTAATCAGTTATGTTTGGTAAATATGTGAACAGTTTAAACGTTGTTCCTTGTTAATCCATTCTACACGATTTTATTATAGTTAGTTTGCAATTTGTGAATCAGGCCTTTTTAAATACTTATTGGATATTAGGCATCCAGTTTTTCACAGTAAGCTATTGACTGAAATGGAACAGTATTAAATTTTAATTCGCGTTTGTAATTTTGAATAAGGGATGATACTGAGTTTGAGGTTTAGCGTTTAGCTATTTTAATATGAAACTTTTGTCAGAATTAAAACAGCTGTGTTTTTTTCATTTTACTCTACATTTCTCAAACATATATTAAGACTAAATGATTGATTTATAAGAACGTTTATTTTTGTTGTACATGTGTCATAGGTCATGTATTTGGATAGTTGGCATTAGTTTAAAATTCTTGAATAAATTCTATGTTTTAGAGTATAATGTTGTTTGCAAAGATTATTGTTGCTGCAAACAAGATTTAGTTTACATCTAACAACTCTTGACAGTGCCACCGATTAGCGTAGACCTAACCAAACGCTCCTTCGAGTACCCCTTGATATAACTAATCAACGTATATATTGTGTTTGACCCTACATCCTTCACTGTCCTTGTACTACGCTTTTCATTCCCCATATATGTGCCTCGCTTGACCCAGTAGCGCTCCCATTACCCCCCCCCCCCTCCACACCATAAGTCTAGCCTAGCAATGTTTCCTTACCAACATAAGTGTTCCCTAATATACAAATTGTCCTACCTAATGATCATGTCATAGACACCGGTATAAATAATGGCTATATATATTACTCAATGTTTAAGCCCGAGACGATTAATCAATTTAAATGGCAATATTAGTGCCAGTCATTATCACATATGTGATAGAACTGGTTAAACACGTTCCAGATATTATTTTATCACATCGATCATTGCTACAATAGAGACGTGATCAATGCTTGAACAATCGGAAGTGACGAACGCAAAAGGAAAACACTAGTTATCCCTCTATATAACTGACTGAAGTGACGATTGATAACAGATACATTGGCGAATTTCTGCTCACTAATAATTCCTTCGAAGACCAAAAGTTGTCATATGAGACTGTATAGAGCATATCTGACAATTCAAAAAAGTAATTGAATGTCATTAGATAAAAGAACACCAGCGGCTGCCAGGCAGGTTACGCCCACATTTTCGAGAGATGGATAGAGAACAAGCTAAAAAGAAAGTGATTTTTCCTACAATCAAGGGCCATAATTCAGAAAATTACAATTCGATATGCGCAAATATCGAAAAGATTAAGAATCTTCTTTTTAATCACACCACCCCAAATGAAATTAAGGGAGGGGTATTGAAATGATCTCTATCTGCCCTTCAGTGGTTTTTATACGCCCACATTTTCATGTGGACGTATATTGTCGTCGCCCCTGTCCGTTCGTCCGTCCACAATTGTTTGTGAACAGTCTACATGTCACAATTTTTATCCGATTTCAATGAAACATGAATTATAGGTTTATCACCCAAAGATCTTGGTTCCTTTCGATATTGGCATGTATCCTACGGTAACTTCATGGATTATGGCCCCTGATTGTACGAAAATTCACGTTTTTAGCTTGTGAACACTGTAGAGGTCACAATTTTTATCCGATTTGGTTTAAACTTGAAATGTATGCTAATAACCCAAAGATCTCGGTTCCTTGCGATATTCGCGCATATCGGGTGGTAACTTCCTGAATTATGGTCCCTGATTGTACGAAAAATTGCGCTTTTAGCTTGTGGACCCTATAAAGGTCATAATTGTTATCCGATTTAAAAAACCGTATTATTATATCACTGTTACACCCTAGGGACGGCTGATTTTTCGTTCATTCAATCAGGGGCCATAATTCAGGAAGTTACGTTCCGATATGCGCGAATATCGAAAGGAACCGAGATCTTTGGGTTATAAGCATACATTTCAGGTTTACACCACATCGGATAAAAATTGTGACCTCTACAGTGTTCACAAGCTAGAAACGTGATTTTTCGTACAAAAAAAAATCCTCAAAAATAAAAATATACATTTTTGGTGGTCTGCCTAATATTTGTTAATATAAAACAGTCATTAGGCAGACCACCAAAAATGTATATTTTTATTTTTGAGGATTTCTTTTTAAAAAAATGTATTGTAGCTTAGGAGGGACTTATATGGAAGATTAGTTGTTTTGTTGGGTTTTTTTTTATGTAAACTAAATAAGTTGCTTCATTAAATAAAGTTTTTATTATTATTATTATTAAAAATGAATCCAAAGCAGACGAACTTTTATTATCTGCACGTGATATTATCGAAAGCGAGGCGTCAAGGAATGTGACACATATTTATCGTTAGTTAACCATTGTGATATAATACAACCGGTGTTATTGGTGACAATTTCAAAACTGTAACACAACAGGCGTGTAGGATAAATCGGAATCAATCCATGTGGTCAGATGACCACAAGCTAGAGTCCACTGCCGTCCTATAATGCTTGTGATACTATAATGCCAATACTAGGGGAAGCAACTCTCAGAACAGGAACCGAAACAGTGAGTAAAAATGGACGGGGTTATTCCAAAGCCGAAATTCCACTTATTGTTCCTAAATTGTCTATGTCTTTGTAGCTCAGGAGGGACTTATATGGAAGATTAGAGTTGTTTTTTTGCAAACTAAAAAATCATTAAATAAAGTTTTTATTATTATTATTATTAAAAATGAAACCAAAGCAGACGAACTTTTATTATCTGCACACGATATTATCGAAAACGAGGCGTCAAGGAATGTGACACATATGTATAGTTAACCATTGTGATATAATATAACCTGTGTTATTGGTGACAATTTCAAAACTGTAACCCCACAGGCGTGTAGGATAAATCGGAATCAATCCATGTGGTCAGATGACCACAAGCTAGAGTCCACTGTCGTCCTAATCTCCCTGTCCGTCCTTAAAACTCTTACTACATTTGAAGCAGCTTGTGATACTTTAATGTAAAATGACCTAATACAAGGGGACCCAACTCTCAGAACAGAAAACGAAACAGTGAGTAAAAATGGACAGGGTTATTTCAAAGCCGAAATTAAGCGGAAAGAAGTATCATTATTGTGTTCTGTACAACTATGTTGATGGTCCAGCAAGTCATAGAGATAATGACCAAAAATTGTCTAGAGCTTTTCTAGCGAAAATGGAAGATGAACTAGCTGGGTGTGGCTTTACGGATGGGTATTATTTTGAGAAAATTCTTCCAGGAAGTAATTTATTTGAAGTGTATTCAGCTACGTTTATCGAACCATGCGAGAAAGTAGTGGTCGTTTTAACTAAAGGCTTTAGAGATAATTGTTGGCATAAATACACCCAGCAAACATCGTTTATGAAACTGATCAATGGAGGTAAAACTGCCACCTTTCTGCCTATTGTTATAGGTGAAAAACGGGAGGAAATACCTAGAGATCTAGGGCTAGATATGGAACAGATTTTATTTTTTGAGGAAAAATGGGAAGATGATGAAGATAATTGGTGTCGGTTAAAATACTGTTTTCTTGAAAGCAAATCAATTCCAGCTTTGTTGGAAAGATCAAAATCCAATATTCCAGGTAGGTCCTACAGAGAACAACACAACTCATACATAAACAGAAAAAAAAAGATAAATGGGGTTTAACGTCCACTCGACAAAAACTAGGCCATTCGAGGCCAACATATTGTTCAATGTGTTTTCAATAATTCGTTTCCACAGGGGTCTCTAGCACTGGGACGACCCAGAGAAAACCCACGAGATTGGACAGGCAGGCAACCCGACTCATTGTCACGAATAAGATGGGAATAGAAACCACGCCACTCAATGACAGACCTTATGATCAAAACCAGCATTCGTCCATCCAACCCCCTCGTAAAGACACGCGTAAAGGACAAAGCCTAACGAACATTGGAAGACATAATAGGCCTAACATGGTTCTTGGGGCTAGTTGTAAGCGCACACTGCGATGCACAGTTAGACGATCCGCGAATAAAAGGGATGTTGCCAAACATGGTAATATTCTGCTGTAAGGCATGATCGGCTGTCAGTACATTGACGATACCTGTTTATAGAAATGAGACATATCACCAGGACCAGGAACCGAATGTGACGTACTTAAGATGACTTGGTCGCGGAGCGTCGCCCCAAAGAACAATTGGTCCAAAAATAAAGTATTTTAAACTGTAATCGATAGGGTTCAAAGTATTATAGGTATATTAGTCTATTGGATACAAGACAACCTTGCACTAAATACAAGAAAACAGCCTTGGTCTGAATGGTCATTTAGCTAGAATGGCAAACAACGGTTAGGTTACAACCATAAAAGGCGATGATAGCATTTAGAAAATACCTATAATGGTTTACACTGGGTGAAAATTGGTGTCTTAGTTGCACAAAATATAATCACCTATGCTTAAAAGAAATTGCAAATCTTGGTAGTTTCCAAATTCCTTTACAAGAAAGGGAGATTATTCCAGAATGAAATAATTCTTTGTCTTCACATATTGTATACTAATCGTATTGATTCTATAGAGCAACATATTTTACTAATAAAGGAGCATTATATAAGATTTAAATATAGAGAGGATCGTTCACGCTATAATGTAAAATGAATATATTGAAAGTATCATTCAAATTCTTTATTTTGGACGAAGTTATTATCGCTGTCGTTTTGATAAGATGTGTGCATGGGGTCGAGATGATGTTGGACGGCGTTATCACTGTCGTTTTGATCAGATGCGTGCATGGGGTCCAGATCATGTTGGGTGAAGATATCACTGTAGTTTTGATAAGATGTGTGCATGATGTCGAGATGATGTTGGGCGACATTATCACCGTAGTTTTGATAACGTGTGCATGAGACCGAGATGATGATATCATTGATAGATGTTATATCTACTTTATCAACTGGTTTTCTTTTATATTCATATAATTAGACATTTGTCATAACTGGCGCAGGATCAGTTCCCATTGGCAGAAAAATCGTTTGTTGTATAATCTGATCACCAACTTCACATGGCCATAGCAGTAAATCTGTTCAAGTCAGAATAAGCTGTCATCATTACTCAGCTTCCAATCAGACCAAAGTCTAACAGTACTTGATTAATACCCATGGATCTCGTTGCTTATTACCACATGTGCATTTTCCTTTTACAGGCCCCCTACTGGCGCTGTAAATACGCCATCTGCTCCAATGACCACGACCACCGGTAGGATGGCGTATTTAATTGCACAATTCGAGGTGGGGTGGGGCGCATTCTGTAGACTTAGTTGTGTTGCGTAACGCACGTTGTATTGTAGACTCTGTATGTCAATTACATTTCAGTTGAAGAAACCCAAGACTTTAATAGCCTCGCTGAAGATGGTGCACCAGCTACGGGACAAGATGTACCCAACGTGAACAACCTTAGCATTGATGGTAGACAACAAAGTCCACCTAGCGGGGCTGCATGTGGATCTAAACAATCGAAAAGAATTTCCTGTCACGATGGAGCTACAGGGGGACTGTCATACAGATCACCTACAACCCAAGTTCATTCAAATCCCTCTGGTCCTAGAGGGGACCCAGTTGGTGCTGCTACGAGTTTCCCAGACCTTCCGCTGAAACCACCAGATGATACTGAAGAAGATCGCTCACCGTCTACACCACAGACCATTGTAATTAGCGATTATGCACCTGATTCTATACACATTAGTAAAGCAGCTTATCAAGAAAAGGGCCATACATCAGGGTCAGATAAGGAAAATCCTGCTGAACAGAAGACGTCGCCTTGTAAGTGTAACAATTGTTTTAAAATATTACTTGATAACGATTTGGTGACATGAAAATTTGTCTTAAGACTAAGAAAAAATCCTATCGAACTTTAAACTTAATTTTTCCTTAATATTCTCTATTTTGTCGTTGTGAAATGTTTGAAGTTAGATGATTATATCATCTTTGGATGTGTGTTATGTTTCGACCACATGCCTTATCTCCCTTGAATGATACTTTCAACAGGGACGGTCACTTTGAACAGCTCTACCTTGGATGCGCTTTTTCCATTTTAGTCCCGAAATGACCTAGTTTGTGTTGAGTGGAGGTTACCCCCCCCCCCTCGTCTCTCTCTCTTCAATTCTATAATGTTCATTATTTCTGACGGCCTGGTTGGTATTTAACCCCTACTTCTACAGTAAGTGACATCGCATACAACAAACGACACAACTGGCTTTACAAGAAATACATGTAGTATTGTCGCCTTCATTTGGAAGAAAGTAGGAAACTATTTAAATGGGTTCGTTCGTCACAATTGAGGTTGATATTAATTTAGTACTGGTCATACCTATGAGTTCAATAATGACTTGGCCTAAACACAGATAAGCTGTTTGGTTGAGTCTTTAGACAATAACATCTAACAGCGATAAAATATGAGTGTAGATCTTCCTAAGTGTGCCGCGAAAAGTTTGAACGGCGCACCAAGAAAATTTCTCACTAAGGACGCCATTTTGACTTCTGAAATTCGAAACACTGCAATGAAGAAAGTTCATAGCTGTGTTTTTCTTTATTTAATATGAGTCATTCTATGTGTCTATGACTAGTCTGTGTCCACGGCTGTATGCCGTCTATGACTTGACATGTTTTTATTTTGTAAAATTCAAATATTTTTCATATATATTTAGCCATGTGTGCCGCTATTGTTTCATGTGTTCCAAGGTGTGCCGTTGGCAATAAAAGGTTGAGAACCACTGGTCTAGATACATGTAGATTAAGTTAGACTACTTAAAAACCATGAAAGTATTTGTACGACTCGAGAAGTGGAAAGTGTATACATCAAATCGAAAATCATGTTTGTCCGACCGTCGAATACCTCAATTTACATTTCGTTTATTTTCATTTCAGTTTATATGGACGTCTTGAATTACATAGTTGGCACTTTGTGATGAAACTTAAAAACATAATTTTAGAATTAAGCTGATGTATAAAAAAAAAATTTGAAGGGTGGTCCAAGAATTCTGATTCGTATATAAATACGATTAAATATACCGGTCTTGAACACACTCTCCCCAACAACAGACAAAATAAAACGTGGACCAAACTACCATATTTATGAAGCAAGTCCGTAGCTATGGGGTGAAGAAATAAAATATGAGTATTTTGAAGCATCTTTTGAACACCATCATATTCAAATTAGAACTGCCATTTGTATATTTTTAATTCATTTTAGTCTCATTATTACTACAGACTGAATATATCTTAATATATATTTTCTAATCCTGGTACAGGAAATGTATTTGCGGAGGTCTACTTGTTTGCCCCCACCCAGGTCCAGACTCTGACTACGGGCCTGTTATGAAGGTAAAATATGGGATGGATAACTGAACAGTATTTTGTATCATATGTGTTATAGTGTAAGCTTAATGAATATACAGGTTACAATAATTAATTTGATCGAGTATTAAACCTGCTCAATGAAATGGCAGTAGTTATATTTCACATTGTTTTATACCAAGTTCAATATAGATTTTATAAGCTAAAGGTTTGTTAATCTACTGTTTATTCTTGTGTTCGTCATCTGGTAATTCTAGCAATAATGTCATTTAACCCTTTGTACTCTTGTTGTTCTTACATAGCGATAAAATTTCATTTAGCTCCGACCAAATTCGGTTTCGATCTCTCGTCAAAAGACGAAACGCCACTGCATTGGCAATCAATTTGGGTGGGTCAAAACGATCAATAAAATATGAATAGATTTGTGTAGTAGTCATATAATTAATGTCATCTAAAAAATAAAGCATTGAAATTTTTTAATTTTTTTTTTGTATTAGAAATAAAGCATGGAAAGTGTCGTTAGACATATAGCCGACATATTAAACACCCCCTCTCGAAAGTGATTTTCCAGATCGTCCCCCCTGATCACTGTATGGTGTGGGCCCGTCTTCATTAGCCCTGTCGGAACAGAAAGGTAGGATGTTGAACCCGATTTCATTTCATGTTTAGGGGCTACTGTTGTAGTTGGGTGAATTTCGACCCAATGTTTAATACATCGCGCTAATCCGCACAGTATTACTTAATTCAGTGAACTATATTTTAATGGATCTTAATCCACCTTAATTACCCCCCATTTATATCTATTTGTCCCCCGCCTTTCGAAGAAAGCAGGGGACTATTAAAATGGGTTCGTCCGTCTGTCTGTCTGTCTGTCTGTCTGTCTGTCTGTCTGTCTGTCTGTCTGTCTGTCCGTCCGTCTGTCTGACCGTCTGTCTGTCCGTCTGTCTGTCCGTCACACTTTTTGGGACACAATAACTCTCTTCCTAATTGAGCTAGAATGTTCAAACTTGGTGTATGTGTTTATTAGGTCAATGCCTTGATGGAGTTCGAAGATGAGCATTTTCCGCTTAGGGTAAGCAGAGATAAGCAATTTGATTGGTTGATGCTTTGGGACACGATAACTCTCTTCCTAATTGGGCTAGAATGTTCAAACTTGGTGTATGTGTTGATTAGGTCAATGCCTTGATGGAGTTCGAAGATGAGCATTTTCCGCTTAGGGTAAGCAGAGATAAGCAATTTGATTGGTTGATGCTTTGGGACACGATAACTTTTAATTGAGCTAGAATGTTCAAACTTGGTGTATGTGTTTATTAGGTCAATGCCTTGATGGAGTTCGAAGATGAGCATTTTCCGCTTAGGGTAAGCAGAGATAAGCAATTTGATTGGTTGATACTTTGGGGCACGATAACTCTCTTCCTAATTGAGCTAGAATGTTCAAACTTGGTGTATGTGTTGATTAGGTCAATGCCTTGATGGAGTTCGAAGATGAGCATTTTCCGCTTAGGGTAAGCAGAGATAAGCAATTTGATTGGTTGATGCTTTGGGACACGATAACTTTAGTTCTAATTAAGTGAGATTGATGAAACTTGGTGTATAGATTTATTATATGAATACCTTAACTAAGTTCGATAATGAACATTTTTTGCTGAGGGTAAGCAGAGTGATAAGCAATTTGATTGGTAGAAACTTTGGAACACAATAACTCTCCTTCTAATTGAGGTAGAATGTTTAAACTTGGCATAGGTGTCTATTAGGTGAATGTTTAAACTTGATGTATATGTAGATGTTCATTAGGTGAATGTCTTGACTGAGTTCAATAATTAACATTTCGAGCTGAAGCTAAGCAGAGCTAATCGATTTCATTTGTCGATGGTTTGGGACAAGATAATCTTGATTCTATCTGATAGAGAGTGATGAAACTTAGTGAAAAAAATAAATGTGCGATTAATTAATATGTGTCATCTATTTATTTTGCAATTTCGGCGGGGGACATCAGCCTCACTGTTGGCTTGTTCATATTGTCTTATATAATTCTTTAATCGCATGTCTCCAGTATTGGGGGGGTTGGATGGCTGAATGGTTAGCGCGTGCGTGCTGTATCATAAGGCCTGTCATTGAGTCAACTGCCGTGGTTTCGATTCCTCGGTTGTACATGACAAGGAGTAGGGTCGCCTGTCCAACCTCGTGGGTTTTCTCCGGTTTCCTCCCACTGCTAAAGACTCCTACGCGCAAGCGAATAAATGAAATAAAATTAAACCATATGTTAGTCCCGAAATGACCTAGTCTGTGTCGAATGGACTTTAAACCCCATTTCTCTCTTTTTACTGCTGATCAGTTTTGGTTTAGGGGTTTAGGTGATATAAAATCTTCCGTTGATAGTAGATTAACGCATGCGCTTTTGATTATAAGATAAAGGCAATCATAAGGTGTGTGATCCCATCGGTTCCCTCTCTCTACTAAAGTCTCCTTCTTGCAACACCGCCTCTACTAAAAACCTGTACGTGCAACGAGGCTTTTTTAAGGAAGTTGAAGCACTTGATTAAAGGTGAATTTGGGGCGGTTGTTTCCCTTCTTGCGCGAGATATTTTGATATATATAACTTGGGTTATTTCCCAACAGCTTTTAATAAACATAAGAATCCGTGGAGACATTTCATTCAGTATTCAACTTACTGTATAGTAACCTGACTAGGATACACAGGGTGACTTGACTAGGATACACGGGGTCACCTGACTAGGAATGTCTCTACACCACTGACAAGTGAAAACCACGCCATAAAATCCCAATGAACACCTCCAGGTTAGCGAGCGAACTTCTTACTCGTACCGATTCATTTAAAGTTAAATATTCTGGGGTTTTATTTTTAACTGGAAAGCCGTGCTTTTAAAAGTTGGCTGGCAACCACACTATTTAACAATGCTGTTTTAACATACCTGGTTAATATGCAACCACCTTGACACATATAGATTAGATCTACTGGCAACCCATATTGAAGGGATGTAAGTTTTTATACTTCCATTCTTCAAGATACGACCACTGTTAAGATAGGTCACATTATTTCTATTACGTCTGCCTTGTAAATAATTTATTTAAAGTAGCTAAGTCCTTAACTCAATATCATCCAAAATCTTCGACATTGAAAACACGAATTTTTTTGCAATTTAAATCAGCGTTGGTGTTGTGATCTTACCTGGAAAAGATGGGCTTCTGATATCCAATATTTAAGACAAAATAAACATTTTACCATTGGTACACGAATCGTGTACCATGATGCATTTCAGCGCCATTTGTAACAAGGTTCTCAAAGAATGGGGCTAGACATATTCCACAAGTCATGTCAAACGGTGATATATTCTTATTTGGAAAGCATGCGTAAATAATATCGGTGTTGACTGGAATAACAAGACGCTAGAAACTGCCTTGCGGTTGAGACTTCTGGCGTGTTTCACCGAACATAACTGATGACAATTCACAGTAAAACGGACACGATTGAATGTAAAACAGTTTATATACATTCATATTACATTATTATATGTGTTGCGACCCATTTGTGCCAATTTCTAGGTCCAAAATATTAGCGATTTAGCTCCTTTTTAAGTAAAGCCTGTATCATTACAGACCCGGGACTGTACAACATAGTGGGTGCTTATGGCTAGCCCCCAGATCCATTCAATTGATTTGATATTTGTTGTTTGATTCTTGCAATGTCTGCCCTGTCCGCAGGTTTGTCTTATCGGTTTTGATTTGCCACCCAACCTCTGCAAGAAATAAACAACACACACATATATATCTACATATCAACTCAAGTAAATGTATCCGGGAGTTAGCCGTAAGCATTCACTGGTATTGTCCGTCGTCATTACTCCGGTCGGAGCAGAAAAATAGGACGTTAAACCCCATTTCATTTCCACTGAGCTAGATAGTCCGGGCTTGTGATAATTTTATTTAACAATAAAAACAAAAACATTAAATTACAAGAAAGACGTAAAGCGAAAGATCAGCTGTACATATTACCGTAATGCAATTGTAGTATTCATAGCCGAATTACAATGTACAATGCGCGAAAGACGGTATTCGTTTATATTGATATTACGCGTTGACAGTTAGTTGTACTGTGGGTCGTCTGTTCTTTGTATTTATATTGTATGGACTTCGCATTTACAGCATTAGTTATCTGATAGAATGTTGCGTTTACATAGACATCCTGAATATTATCGCGAAAAAATCCAGAAATCCCATCAGTTGCAACACATGTAAATAACCACCATGTTTTACTACCATGTTTTGAAAAGTTCTAAGCCTGATCAAAGGGTTGATACAAACTTTGTCACCAACAAGTACAATCATTGAATGAATCCTAAACATAACAACTGCAACTGTAGTGTTATTATTGTCTTCGTAACCGACCATCTTGTGAACCTACCCATTGAAATTACCAGAAACAGACAAAACTGACTATAAATTCATTAGTGCTGCTATAGAAATGATGGTAAAAACTATAGTGATCTATAGAACTAACTTGTATTATCAAGTCAGCTGTGTAATTCTATAATTGTCTATAGTAGATTGGGTGATTAATACTATATTTTTCTATAAAACTCACTTATATTCTCAAGTCATTTGTTTAATACAATAGTATTCTATTCTCTAGTCATTTGTTTAATACAATAGCATTCTATATCCCCAAATCAGATGTGGTAAAAACTAGGTTTCTATCGAACTATCTTGTATCCTCAAGCCACTTGAGTAATAAGGCACGGTGGATCCTAGTCAGGAAGAAATGTTCTTCAGCCACCTTGAAGAACAGTGTAAATGGAATCTTTTCAAACAAATCTATTTCTGCAAAAAATATATTTGCCAAGTAGGGTACTCAATCAGCATACAAATTCATACCGGTACTCTTAGTTTTCAAATAACACCACATTCGAATTTCAAAACCTGTTCTATTTCTTGTAACATTAAATTTTGTATTGCTTGCAGGCAGTGATACATTGATTAATTAAACCATTTTTAAAAATTAATCACTGTAGTTTATTATTAATTAAATAAACATTTCATTAAATATCCTAACTTTGTAATCGTTATGTTTTCATGAAATGTTCCTTTATTATAAAGAACTATAAACAAAGTCAGGTAGAATTTTAATTTAAAATTATTTAATATATTAATTTAATCTTTACAAGTATAATATACAGTTTCCGTACATTTCAATTAACGCAACATTCTATTAAAGGGGAGGAAGAACGATTTTCAAAAAGGTTTCCATAAATCTTAAATATACTTTGATAAATAATCCCCTCTGTAACACAAGCAACAAAGTTTTTGTAAGCGAGAAATTAATTTTTATTAAAACCGGAAGTGATGTAGTTGGTTCAACACGGTGCTGTGGTATTGCTTATATACTGACTGAAGATGGTTCTCGAGCTTGTTACCTTTCATATGTTGGTTAAGTTGAGTTAAGACACATTTTTCAATGATTT